TGGGACTACACGTGCGTATCAACCCTGGCTAACACCTACATTAACCTCAGTGTTGCACAACCAGGTGGCGCTGCCACCCACAGGGAAGCAGCCAAGTCCCGTAAGTATAGAGAACTGGATCACCACTACAATTTTGTCCCCATTGCTTCTGAGACACTCGGCGCCTGGGGTAAAAGTGCTACCAGTTTTTGAAGGAACTGGGTTCTAGGCTCATTGAAACAACAAGGGACCCGAGAGCTGCAAGCTTTCTTTTCCAGCGCCTCAGTGTGGCGATACAGAGGGGAAATGCGCACTGCATCCAGGGTTCCTGCCCGCCATCTGAGGAGCTGGAGGAACTCGACAACCTATGATAACCATCTTTGTAACCCATATGTAACTCCTTTTTTGTAACAAAGTTCAAATAAGTAAATATATGTGTGTACATACAAAAGAATGGGGGTGGTAGGAGAAGATAATATTAGTGTTCAGTGAGAAACCACAAGGTCTCCTCTGAATACTATATATATATATATATATATATATATATATATATATGCAACAATGATCACAAAAACACTGATCCAAGTATGCAGAATAACCACATATGAAAAATAGAAAATGCTTAACGCGTTTTCGGCTAATTCGCCTTCATCAGAGCAAAGTAGAATGAAGATAAGTTCAGATAGAATGAAGTTCAGATAGAATGAAGATAAGTTTGCTGGTCTGATCAGCAAACTTATCTTCATTCTACTTTGCTCTGATGAAGGCGAATTAGCCGAAAACGCGTTAAGCATTTTCTATTTTTCATATGTGGTTATTCTGCATATATATATATATATATATATATATATATATATATATATATATATATATATATAATTCAACTGTTTTCAAGTAAAAATTAAATGCTAACAACACACTGGAAATATACAAAATGCTATATTCAGTATTAAAAGTGAAGAAGAGAGGAAACTCTCTTAACAATAGTGGAGAATTTATCTGAAAATTAATTCAAATAATTTTGTCACTAGTCTTCAAGATTGATTATTTTTATTTGTCTTATTTATTTATATATATACTGTACAATAGTTTTTTCATTCTTGTACAACTACTAGCATGCATAGCCTTTTGGGCAAGTCCTTAATCCTATGTTCCCTAGAATACGACCCGCCAAATCGTTTAACAACCAGGTATCCATTTTAGTGTTGGGCAAACAGAGGCTACAATTAAGGATTGATGCCCAGTAAAACCTCCCCGGCCAGGATACGAACCAAAGACAAAGCGCTCGCAAAACACCAGGCGAGTGTCTTACCACTGCACCACGGGGACTGCAACACACTTTAATTAAAAGAAACAAAAGTTTTCCTCACCGTCTTTGGACTGAAGGGTGGCTTGCCAAATGTTAGGGTGACTGCTCCTCCTCCATTGACCATGATATCGAACCATCCATCCCGCCGGGTGAGTGTGAAGCCCTCCTGGTTCTCAATGGTCGATACCCTGAGGCCCACCACGCCCCTGCCGGCTCTGGTCACCACACGCCCACGAACCACAGCCGCTCTCCTGCACCACACCAGCACAGACACTCATCACCCACCCGCACCACAACACTTACACAAAGTGGACACACACAGGCGTTATAGTGTGGGGGCAAAAATTTACAATACTAAAATTTAGAACTCTGGACAGTTTAGAGAGAGAGAGAGAGAGAGAGAGAGAGAGAGAGAGAGAGAGAGAGAGAGAGAGAGAGAGAGAGAGAGAGAGAGAGAGAGAGAGAGAGAGAGAGAGAATGAGAGAGAGAGAGAATGAGAGAGAGAGAGAGAATGAGAGAGAGAGAGAATGAGAGAGACAGAGAGAATAAACATAAAAATAGCTATTTAGTTCGCTGGAAAAGTCTCAAACCCAGAATTATACAAAGATATTAAATTACATGTAAAAATTATGACAGACTTAAAAAATTATATATATTGGGATATAATAAAAAGTATTATGAAAATACACTCTAGAGAAGTACTGTAAATATATGCTGAAAGTAATTTTATGATAGAAATGACCAATGTAAATATACTTAAACAGTTTAACTTTTATAACTTTTAACTTGTTTCAGATATTAAGCAGCATAATAATAAGCATTATAACATTTGTTTTTGAATGACATTTTTGTTTAAATATATTATATGTTCTTTTATTCAATAAGTAATGTTTCAATCTAGAAATAATCCATTCAACAGATTATTTATTTAGAGAACAGTATTTATGAAAACAAAATCATTTAGATATATAATATATATATATAATCAAATCAGAAAGAGAAAATACAGAAACGGATTTGAATCAAGCTGTAAAAATATAGAACGTGGCTGATTTGTCAGAGAGCATTATTCCAGGGAACAATAGTGTATTAATAGACCAGAACTTGCATGCTGGGCTTTAAAAAGTACGGTAAAAGGAAATGTGTTTCTTAAGAAGGAAATATGATTACAGACGAATAAAAAGGCAACCAATTGGGGAAACCCATAAATAACACTTTAACATATATATACTGTATATATATTAAATATGTAGTAATATGTATATACTGTACAGTATTTAAATGCATAATTAATATATATATATATATATATATATATATATATATATATATATATATATATATATATATATATATATATATATATATATATATATATATATATATATGTCGTACCTAGTAGCCAGAACGCACTTCTCAGCCTATTATGCAAGGCCAGATTTGCCTAATAAGCCAAGTTTTCCTGAATTAATATATTTTCTCTAATTTTTTTCTTATGAAATGATAAAGCTACCCATTTCATTATGTATGAGGTCAATTTTTTTTATTGGAGTTAAAATTAACGTAGATATATGACCGAACCTAACTAACCCTACCTAACCTAACCTAACCTATCTTTATAGGTTAGGTTAGGTTAGGTAGCCGAAAAAGTTAGGTTAGGTTAGGTTAGGTAGGTTAGGTCGTCGAAAAACAATTCATGAAAACTTGACTTATTAGGCAAATCGGGCCTTGCATAGTAGGCTGAGAAGTGCATTCTGGCTACTAGGTACGACATATATACATTATATATATATATATATATATATATATATATATATATATATATATATATATATATATATATATATATATATATATATATATATATATATATAGTATACACACACACAAAGATTAAAAAATACTGATCTCAAAAAATGCAGAGAAACCTGATAACGAGTGCTCGTTATCAGACAGAATAGGAATGACACAGGACTACTACCTAAGAGGAGGTAACAAGCTCAGAAAGACATTATGGGAGCAGAAATGTGGCCATAAAATTAAGTGAACACAGATGCTGCTCACGGGCCAGTGAGGAAGCAGTGAGTGGCAAAAATATAGGAATAAGATAAACACAAATACTGGTACTGTACAGTTGGTAACGGCAAAACACTTTATGTCCTCATAAGACAAATTCATTACATTTTTACATGTTTTTATCCCTTAAGCGTTACATGAAAGTAATGCTTAAGAGATACGTTAGTCTCCCTATCCTTCAAATGTCCAAGCAAAAATTCCTGTTTAATTCCCTTACTTTTCAGCCAATTGTCATTTCTCTGCCCTGCGTTATTGTGGCTATAGTTGTTAGGTGGTGTTTTGCTGAGCAATATGCCTCTCATAATGTGGTAATCTATTTTTGTGCTTTTATTCCTAAACTATTATTCCGGTAGTCTCTGTGGTGCAGTGGTAAAGCACTCACCCGGCACTTCAGGGGGGAGACTTTGACCTGGGTTTGTATCCTGGCCGGGGAGGATTGACTGGGCGCAAATCTTTAACTGGTACCCTTAACTGGTGCCTTCTGTTCACCCAGCAGTATATGGGTACCTTTTTTTTTTTATATACAAACGTTTTTACATTCTTGTACAGCCAATAACACGCAGCCTTTCGGGCAAGTCCTTAATCCTAATTTTCATACACACACATTCCCAGGAAGCAGCCCGTAGCAGCTGTCTAACTCCCAGGTACATATTTACTGCTAGGTGAACAGATCCATCAGGGTGAAATAAACTCTGCTCATTTGTTTCTGCCTTCGCCAGGATCGAACCCGGACCCTTAGGACTACGAACGCCGAGCGCTGTCCACTCAGCCGTCAGGACCCCAGATGTTTGTTAAACCTGGTTGGTAACCTGAATGGTTACCTAGTTGTTAAATGATTTGGCGGGTTATATTTCGGGAATATTAGGATTAAGGACGTGCCCGAAACGTTATGCATGAAAAACTATGAAAAAAAAAATAAAAAATTTTTGTAAAGAATTTCATTGTTTTTCAGCTTTTTTGCTTTCTAAACATAAAAGTAATTATTATATATCACGCCATGGGTCCCAAGAAAGTCAGTGGTAAAGTTCAACCTATGAAAATAGTTGTGATTAGAGGCAGTAGAGGATGTCTCTTCATTGTTAAGAAAATATGTAAAGTATGGGAAGAACTGCAAAGTTTTGCTGAAAAGATTCACCCAGATTAAGCTGTAGAAGGCCGTTGCATTAACCTTTTTAATGACAATGTGATGTCTCACTACAGACAAGTGTTAAGGCAGGGAAAAACAAGTCTTTATGGAAAGGTTCTTAGTGAAAAAAACAAGCAGTGAGCCACAACCAGGTCCTAGTGGTATGCCTGCAAAACATAGGAGAGAGAATATCCCAGAGAAGTCATCACTGCCTGATGTTATAATGGAAGGGGACTTCCCTTCCATACACCTACACCTCTCCTTTCTCACTGTCTTCCATATGCCAACAAGTCATCAATGAAGGTATGCTATAACTTGTACATTCTGTACTGTAGTTCAAAATATTTGTGTGTATTATGTAATTAAATGTATTTTGAAGTTAATATTTTTGGGAGTGTGGAACGGATTACTTCAATTTACATTATTTCTTGTGGGAAAAATTTGTTTTGGTTTTCAAATTTTCAGTTTACGTGCCGTCTCTGGGAATGGATTAAATTAGAAAACCAAGGTTATATTAAGTGTTTCATATTACTGTATAGGCAAAAATTGAAATCTGACTTTGCTCATTCCTACTGATATTTATTTATTTACTTATTTATATATACATGTACAATATCTCTTACATTCTTGTAAAGCCACTAGCACGCATAGCATTTTGGCCAAGTCCTTAATTCTATGTTCCGGAATATGACCCCGCCAAATCGTTTAACAACCAGGTACTGTACCCATTTTACTATTGGGTAAACAGAGGCTACAGTTAAGGATTGACGCCCAGTAAATCCATCTCAGCCAGGATACGAACCCAGTACAAAGCACTCACGAAACGCAGGCAAGTGTCTTACCAACTACACCATGAGGACTGATATGGAAAGAATGTCTGCAAAACTTATGAAAGATCAGTTAATATTTAGAGGTTGCACAGTCTGCTCACTTGAAATTTTATTCCAATTCATATTAAGCATAATAATAATAGTATATATTATAATGTATATATCCCAAATAAATTAGATTTACAATTAATCTTTTTATTCTAAAATACATCCCACAAAACTAAACAAAGTTGAAACTTAACATTCATGTTAACTACATTCAATTAGTAAGATGCAAGTCCTTTTTTTATTAGCTTGGTGATGGCTTTTCTGTGGTGTTTGACACTCCTTAACAGGAGTTTAGTTTAGTTAGTTACTAACTAAAAACCTATAAATCCAACATTATGTTTAACTCATCTTCTATGTACAGTATGTACTTTTACCTGATTAAACATTTTGATTTTGGTTTGATTCAATACTTTAAAGGCAATGATGGAGCTTTTTAACACATTACTGCAGTTTTCCTCCACACTGCCAACCCTAATCCGAAGAATGTCTTTGAACATCAGGTGACAAGGTCTCCCAGATCTTTCCCTTAAAAGACTAGGTTTTCCCCTCTAATCATTAAGATTCTTTCTTTTATTCTGGCTTCTCCAAATTCTGGAACATCTTTTCCTTCGCTGCCAGAGTAATACGTTCATCCAATAAAGTCAATCAAACATTTGTTTCTGACAGATACCAATATGTCTCTTAGCTACCTTCAAAGAACTCTCCTTGACATCTTTATCCGGGTTCAGAAGTTGAATCATATCCGAGTCATTATTTGGTTCCAACTGACTTGCAACTGCCTCATGCCAAAAGCAGACATATATGAGGCTGACAAAATAAGCTGCTTTTTCTCATTCTCTCAATTCTTAATTAGTCAACTCCAGTAGTTCACAGAATAGGACGACCTTAAGAGTGTACAGTATATATGGTCTTTGCCATCCACCTTGCTTGATGGAAATCTCCTAGTGAACTGAATTTGAATTCACATTCAGACCAACCTCCAGGAAAGATGAGGGACAGATTTAAAAACTCTGTACAGTAATCTTTTTCAAGATTTTTTGAAGGTAATCTACTATGACTTCTTACCAACTAAATCCCATAGTGTTTTGAACTTGCAAAATTAATAGAACTGTGCAGCTCCTATATAGTTTTAGTTTGTCTAAAATTTGGCATATGGATCACTTACTTAAAGGGAACCAAGGGGATGAGCAAAATGATCAGAAAATAGGAACTTTAGAAAATTGAACCATCCTTTATTTTTATAGTTATCTATGTAGAATAACCATTTGAATAGTGAATTATTTGCTAGAGCGCTTTTTAGCCATATCAGGCCTTTGTTAATACTGTAGCAGAGTGACTAACAGAAGAGAGGAGAAGCAGTTTATAAGCAGCCCATCCTCCTATTACATTAAATTTTAAATTCACTTGAATAAACATTTGAATTTGAATATTTTAGTACAGTAGTACTTATAGTAATGATAAGGACCATAGTATATACTGTATACCGACGTACGACAAAATTAGAAAGTAGAAATCGGCACTAATGAGTTGGACAAACCGAAAAACTATTTTCTACTTATGTTGCGTAGACAAACTAAACTAACCTAACCTTACCTTCTTAGGCCTAATACACAATATCTGAGGTAATAATATAGTACATATGTGTGCTATACTAGGCCTAGGAATATTTAAGTTTGTTTTTTGCTTCATTTTTCCATCTCTATAAAGAGAATAGTACAAAGTTCGACTATCTAATTGCTTAGAATGGCAATAGTTACAAAATTACTATCTAAACAGGAGAATAGGTTGTTATAGGCCAGTTTTCCATGAGCTGGCCTATAAATTGCTTCTCTTTTCTGTTAGTCACTGATACTAACAAAGCCCTGACAGGGCCAAAGTGACCTAGCAAAGAATTCACTATTCAAATGTGATTATTCTGCATTTAATAGATCAGCTACTATTAATCTTTATTGTATATATATATATAAGCATATATATTAGTGAATGTATAGTATATTAATATATATATATATATATATATATATATATATATATATATATATATATATATATATATATATATATATTATATATATATATATATATATATATATATATATATATATATATATATTAATTATATAATATATATATATATATATATATATATATATATATATATATATATATATATATATATATATATATATATATATATATATATATATATATATATATATATATATATATATATATATATATATATATATATATATATATATATATATATATATATACATACATATACATACACAGTACAGTATAAACATACAAACAATAATTGACAATAAAATGAAAATTTATATGCTTGCAATGTCTGAAAAAGTTTTCAAAATAACTAATCTCTGGCATATAGGATTGTGTTACAGCAATTAACAAGAATACTAATACAATAGATTAGGCTTTATAGTATAGAATTTGATAATGATGTTGACTAAAATATAAGACACAAAGTGCATGCATTTCGTGACAGTGCTAACAAGCTCTCAAATCAACAGTCAAGTGCATATAGGTGACACACACACACACACACACACACACATATATATATATATAATACATACAAGCTATAACAGACAGGAAAAGCACCACATATTTATAAGTGTGAACATACTATTGTTTGTTTCAACATAAAGTTAATGAGATCTAAATTTTCTAAATTATGAGCAAATTGTATAAGTATATTTGGTTAGGCTGATCGTTTATTCAGTTAAGTATTAAGACTATGGTGTTAAAATTAGTTAAGGCAAAAGGAAGATATAAGTGTTCCTTGATACCATTTAATTTTTATTACCAAGTGACTCTGATAGAAATATAATAAAAACTTACTGAGTATTCTGTTTCTCGAATTTACTTTTTAGGAAGCCAGTGCATTACTGAATGTTGACGTTATAATAAATAGCTAGATAATGGGCAAAAGCCATTTATAAAATATTATTTATTACCAAGAAACTCATTTATTAATTTAATAAACTGTCGGGAGAATTCTTAGATATAAAAGTGCCTGTGATTCCCATCTGCTAACTCAGATTCTACTAATAAGGACTTGCATCTGTTAACGGCAGTCTCATTACAGATCTGTTCAGCTAACAGAAATAGCACATTCGCTCAAGCTGGCACAGAAAGCTCTGCAGGTAGGTGAAGTCAACGTTTAGTTCTGACATGCATATTAACACCACTGTCTGACATGCATTACAGTTGACAGAGAGGCAGTAAGCGCTAACAGTCAAACAGATCATGCAATTTCACCCGTGGTCATAGATTTTTGTTCATAATTAATTGTTCATGAATAATTACGTAATTCACCAATGAGAGATTCAACAGTGTATGATTTTTTTAAAGCTTTATGCAACTTAAATGAAAGTGCTCAAGGTTATCACTCAGAGATTCTTTACAAAAGTCATATATGATACTTTACTGTAAAAAAGGTTTAGGGTGATACAGAGGAATTATATAAGAGCAGAGAACAAGAATTAAATTTATAAGAAGATTAGGCACCACCAAAAAAAAAAAACTGAAAAGAACTAAAGTATGGATTGCATGCAAATTGGCAAATGAATTGTACAGACTTGATAATACGGTAATATTTGTTCTTATAAATGAAGGTTATTTTATATCGGGAGCTGGGGGTTGGGTTGACTATATGGATTACTTTATCATATACTGTACATGAATACCAGTAATTTATTATATATATATATATATATATATATATATATATATATATATATATATATATATATATATATATATATATATATATATATATATATATATATATATTTATTTATTTATTTATTTATTTATTTTACTGTATATTGGGAATTATTGACATGTTCAGAATCACCATAACAGAAAAATACCACCTAAGATTTTCATTATACTGACTGTCTAAAATTGATTCTTTATTAGCCAAATTAAATAATATGAAAGCAGACTTTAAGATGTCATCTTTTAAGAAATATTATGTGTTGATGTTAATTCTTTTAAGAAGATTATGACAATTTACATATAATAATAATAAAGTTATATTCAACACAGAATTATGCACACTATCAGTTTTAAGAATATTGATGTCCATCTGAGACTGAAGTAACAAGATATATAAAAGTGTAGAATAAATTTTAAAGCTAAAGGCCTAAAAATGAGCTTATTCTAAATGTCTTGTAACTCCCGCCACTATGTGAATACCAGATGTTAATTTATTACTAAAACCAATATGAAGTTGATAAGCAAATTAAAATCAATAAAAAAGAGAATAAAAACTGTATTAATATAAATGAATATAAGAAAAACAATGAGTAAAAATAAGGAGCTTGTTTATAAGCAAGTGCAGACATGGGATGGCTAAAACAATCCTGCGGCCACAAAACAAAAACAGAGGCAATGGAGTTGATGGGATTTTTATGACACCGTGAAATCAAGAGCTACACTGTCGATCACCAAAGACAGACGATCATGACGGATAGAAATATCACGAAACTCAGAGGGTCAATAGGGGGATTTCTACGGATATCAATTATATGACCATTAGATGAGTAAGCTTTGGTATGAGAATGCGAAACTGTATTAGACTATCTGAAGTCTTAAGAATGGAATTTCCAAGTAAAAAAATATTTACAGATTAGTATAATATATAATGATAACAGCGATAGAGAGATAAAAATTGATTAGCAAGCAAACACAATGATAAATGAATGTGTGGAAACATTCATTCATGCAATCCAGCACTCAAATTACTAAGGGAAGTCAAGATTAAAATATACATCGCCTCCTATGAAAAAAAAAAGAATGTAGGCTATATTCAAATGGCAGTGCAAATAAGGGTAGATGCTGACAACTAAGAATAAGGTTTAAATATATCATACAAAGTTGCCAGCTAACTCGATCTGAAAAAACTGGAGAAAAATATTAAAAACTATATAAATATGCATTAAGAAAAATAATAAAGTTTGTTCTCTTTCTAAACGTGCTTCTTTTTTGTTTTTAATCTTACCTCGGGTGGAAGTGGTTCCAAAAAACACTGAGCGCAGCACGAAGAGAAAGCCGCGGTTAACCCATACATTCCTACAACTACTACAAGCTAACGAGAACCATTACATCATAGGCCTCCAATGCGCACCGACCCACCAATGATACATGTATGTATACAAAATCTCTATTGTATCATCCAACATTTAACAATCACTTTGCAGTGAGTATTAGTTTGAAAATAATATTTATGGATATTCCTAATCACCTACATTGCTTAATACCTTGGATTTATTGTACAAAAACCCTGTGAAATTAAGAAATGTATACATTATGGATTCATAACTACCCGTGATTTATTTATCTTATTTAAATAATGAATTTAATTAGTAATGCTTTAAAAATAAAAGCATTCTCACTAACCACAAAAATGCTTCACAGAATGATACAGGATTAATAAATATCAGTGTGAACAGGCATCAGATGAGAACACTGTTCAAATGCTAGAAGGGGTTCGGTTCGCAAAGGGGCTGGATGAGAGGCACAACATGGTACTTGTATCCTCACAAAATAATGCATCCAACACGGGTACCCCATACAACTCTGCTAAGCCAGTACTCTGCTTGGGCGGCCCACCTGCAGAGTACCTTCAACACTACCGGTACCTAAGGCGAGTCATACGGCATCGTTCTCAAGTAATTGAAGAGAGTTAGTACATAAAACAGCGCACGTAGAGTCGGTTTTCATGGGGGCTAATTAACAACACTGATAGTCAATGAGCATCTGAGAGTGGTCTTGATACTGACAAAATCTGCCTCGACTATTCAGAATTGTGAATTAGCTTTTTTAAGTGCTATATACTTACAAACTCCAACTACTTGAGAATACGAGCCACAGAGGCCCCCACGAGAAGCTTTATAAAGAACAAATCTTGTTTTCTGCACATGTTCATTTCAAGACACCTCATAACATATTATCAGAATCTCATCAGGGCTTCAGCTAACACTGAAGCCCACAAGATACCTGGATAATACATATAAGCACAAAATCCAACAATCAAGACAGCAGAGGCACCAAGATTTAGTTTATTGTTTTACAAAGGTTTGTGGGTAACCTCTGGACCCATTCTCTACCACAGTCTACTGCAGCAACATTCATGTGACTACGCCTCAGCCGTGTGACACCCATAACAAACGCCGGTTTTGAAGTACAGTCACTACGCTATGTTTGAGCCACCCAGCGTCAGACAAACACAGACAACTTCCATATGGTACGCGTGGGATGCAATACAGTGATAAAAATACTAATGTTGTTTTATATGGTATCTTTTTGAGAATAGTAGTAGCCATACTATGTTTAATATGAGGAAAAAAGGTTGTTACATTTCTTATTTATATTTTCAGGGACTAAAATGCAGTACTTAATATCCACAGAGAAAATAATCATTCCTAAGCTAACATGTATACCTGAAGCTTTATGAGAAAAAGAAAAAGGGGAAATTGAGGCCAAAAACAATTTTAGTAACGATTGGGGTTCCACGTAGTGGTGGATGTCACTGCAGATAATATTAACACTGATGTTAGTATAAAAATGAATGTGTTTTTGCATATCAAAGATACTGTAAATTGATTCTTGGATAACAAATGGAAAGCAGTAGATAAAGAATGTGAAAGATGAACCATTATCAAAATGTTACACTCGATGTGCATACTATTGAATTGTAATTTTTTGGAATACATTGAAGATTCAGGACAATCAACAACAATTACTCCTACTAGTACATTACTATCTTAAACAACTGTCATGGACAAGGAGCAAGTGCAACTCTTGGACTGAGATAAGCGCGTGTTCAATGTATTCTACTGACATAAAAACTTTTCAAATGACACTTCATTCTGCTTACCTCATGTTAAATGCTTCGCTATTAGTAAAGTGCTGCAGTGAATCTTCTTCAATCAAGAATTTCATTTTCTCAAAGAAGGAAGCAGTCGCCGCTGGGGGCTGCTTCCTCAAGAGAATGTCAATGGGGGACGAGGCTCGGGAAACACAAAGCTGAGAGTCTTTGCACGCTTGATGGGTGCAGCATTCTGGATCCTGGCAATCCATCAGGCCATCTGCCAAAGATAAGAACCAGTTAGAGATAGCCGAGGCATGTATAAAAGCATATGAGCGGGATTTATTTTATATAATCTTATTGCCGAGGTTTTATGTTTATTCAAATCCACAATAACATCAGACTTGGTCTCATCTCCTGGAAATTTTTCATTTTGAAGGTACTTGCTTCTGTGATCCAGGATATGGAGACATGAACTTATATTAATCCTCTAAGTAGAGCATGAAAAATGAAATCAAACTCAATTTTCATTGAGAATTTTATGACCTAAAACTTATTTTCAATCCTAATATGTTCAAAGTTCATCTCTGCAATCCCAATGTGCATCCTAAACTAAACATAAGAACAAGGCCCATGTTTTTTATTTCAAATTACAAGCTCTAATTTACTTTTTGTTCACAAAAATAGATTAGAAATAAAGTTAAATTTCATTGTTTAGAGAAAACTTTTAAATTCAACAATACAGTAAATCAGTTGGAAAATCAAAGTAAATGTTGGAACATGAATACACGGCCAGACACACCTCGGTCATTGTCCATGCCATCATTGCACTGGGTCTCTAGCATGGCTGAACAGTCAGGTCCATCCCAGCCAGTCTCACAGCGGCAGTACCAGGTTCCTTCAGCTGTGGCCTCACAGGTGCCCCGGTTGCGACAGTTGCCAGGGCAGCCAGAGAGTGTGCAGTGACGGCCATTCCATCCTGTCATGCACACGCAAGTGCCATTCTTGCACTGCCCATGTTCACTGCATCTGTATAATATAAATATTATATTTAAAGAACAGATGAGGACACATTGAGCCACTTTGTGCTAATTACTAAATGCTTAACAACCTTAATATTATCTATAAATAAAACTGGAAGTCTGTCTGTCTTCAAGGGTGGATGCCAGATGCTTGGGGGGTAAGTACCACCATACTTTGCTGGGTGAATGGTGGCTGTTGTGTGATGGGTATGGCCCCATGCCCCTTCCCTTTTGTATGAAACTGCAGAGGTACCAAATTCCAATCTTTAAATACCAAATACCATATTCACAATGATTCATCATTGTTTTATGGATGGTGATTAAGTACCGTCAGTCCCCAGAATCAAGAGAACCTTCTAGCAGCAAACTGCATAAACCTTATGCATTGTCATAAATATGTGTGCTTGACAGGATAAGACATTAAGAAATTTCAATCACTTGTTTGTCGTGGGTAGTTATCTAATGATGAAGATTGTGTGTAGTTTAGATGGTTACAGTGTTGGTTATTTTGCAGTGAAGAGCTACTGCCCTGACTGCTCTATAGTGCTACCTTGAACGTGGCCAGCTTCCCCTGGGGCTCCACTGTGCATGAGCCGCAGGGTTCAGTCCTTGGATCTATACTGTTTCTGATATATTTAAACGATATATAAGCCTGGTTGCGCTTGCTGAGGTTGAGCTCTGGCTTTTTGGTCCCGCCTCTCAACTGTCAAACAACTGGTGTACAGATTCCTGACTTGCTTAGCTAAATGAATTGTGGGGTTCAGTCCCTGAGCCCATTATGTGCCTCTGTAACCCTTTCCACTACCGCCCATGGGATGGGTATGGGGTGCATAATAAATGAACTAAACTAACTAAAGATTCCTGAGCCTACTGGGCTCTATCATATCTACATTTGAAACTGTGTATGGAGTCAGCCTCCACCACATCACTGCGAAATGCATTCCACCTGTTAACTACTCTGACACTGACAAAATTCTTTCCGTCTCTGTGGTTCATGTGGGTACTAAGTTTCCACCTGTGTCCCCTTGTTCGCATACCACCAGTGTTGTACTATGCTATATTCGTGTAATCCCACCTATGTTATATTCCCTGCTGTAATTCCACCAATGCTATACAGTATTCCCTGGTGTAATTCCACCAATGCTATATTCCCTGGTGTAATCCCACCTATGCTATATTCCCTGGTGTAATCCCACCTATGCTATATTCCCTAGTGTAATCCCACCTATGCTATATTCCCTGGTGTAATCCCACCAATGCTATATTCCCTGGTGTAATCCCACCTATGCTATATTCCCTGGTGTAATCTCACCTATGCTATATTCCCTGGTGTAATCTCACCTATGCTATATTCCCTGGTGTAATCCCACCTATGCTATATTCTCTGGTGTAATCCCACCCATGTTATATTCCCTGGTGTAATCCCACATATGCTATTTATTTATTTATTTATTTATTTATTTATTTATTTATTTATTTATTTATTTATGCATATACAAGAATGTACATAAGGAATGTGAGGATACAAATATGGTAATTACAGTCTTGTAAAGCCACTAGCACGCGCAGTGTTTCGGGCAGGTCCTTAATCTAAAAAAATTTAAGGAGGTAAATACTTGCAAAATTTATAGACAAAAAAATGATAACAGATTACATGAAATGAAAAAAAAAAGAAGATGAGAGAAAATTGTAGGTACAGTATATTAAAGCACATAGGTAGCTAAGATTGATTGCAATGACAGCTTGAATGGTAGTTGACAAAAAATAGGTAGGCACAATACATCAGAAACAATATAAGATTGATTGCAATGACAGCTTGAGTGGTAGTTGACAAAAATTGGTAGTCACAATACAGCATATGGCTAGCACATAAAAGAAGACAGCAATGAACACAATGATAAGGTTGTTTCATATTGCATAAAAATTAGGAGATTGGGTAACACTAGGTACAGAGCAAATTTAAAGCTCGGTGTAGGAAACTAAGAAGATGAAATTAGGTACTTTTTGGTTTTGCTTTTAAATAAGGCAAAAGTTTTACAGTTTTTCAAATCACTAGGGAGTGAGTTCCATAGACTAGGTCCCTTAATTTGCATAGAGTGTTTACACAGATTAAGTTTGACCCTGGGGATATCAAAGAGATATTTATTTCTGGTGTGGTGATAATGGGTCCTATTACATCTGTCCAGGGAGAGTTTCAGAGCATGGTTTGCATTTAAGAACAGGGTTTTGTAAATGTAGTTGACACAAGAGAATGTGTGGAGGGAGTTAATATTTAGCTATAGCTATATTCTCTAGTGAAATCCCACATATGCTATATTCCCTATTGTAATCCCACCTATGCTATATTCCCTGGTGTAATCCCACCTATGCTATATTCCCTGGTGTAATCCCACCTATGCTATATTCCCTGGTGTAATTCCACCTATTAGCGCCCAGTAAATCCTCTCCGGCCAGGATACGAATCCATGACAAAGCGCTCGCGGAACGCCAGGCGAGTGTCTTACCACTACACCACGGAGACTGTCCATTCATGTGAACTCCATGATCATGTTCATATATTTTTTGCATTATTGTACTTTATAGTTTAATAAATTGAACCATGTATTAAAGAAAAATCAACAAACCTCTACATAATTCCGAAGTTACATTTTGGCTTCATCGGTACTCCAACGGTAAACGTTTCAATAACTAAATGTTCTGACGAGGCTAAAATGAGTCATCTGATTGCTATTCACAAGGTTTTATTTTATTTATTTTACAAATAAAATAAATAGCTGTCACGCATTATCTATCATGAATACACTTTCGTTTTTGCATCTATTCTGTAGGCAGTCCATTTGCGAACGTTTTGACACCAAAATTGTAGTGATAGCCCGACAAATAACATGGAAAACGTAAAATGATTGTAAATTTTCTTTGCATTTCTAAGCGGCCCATGAGCGAGTCAAAAACGTTTATGGTAGGGACCTCAAAGCTAAGGGGGATGGAAACTACTATATCAGGAGAAAGCGCCAAGCCATTGCAACTATATAGTACTTTGAAGTCATCTGGATAAGAATTTAGGATGGGATAGGGGACGGAGAGAAGGAATGGTGCCCAACCACTTGGGGATTGAACGCCGACCTGCATGAAGCTTAACCATCGCTCTACCGGCTAGTCTAAGTGGTTGGCGAACAGCCAAAGTGTTAATAAATTATTATGCAATAAATCCTAAGAGTCCACTAGATGTTGTGTAGAATATTCACAGTAATCACTAATTCAATTAACTGAACAGAAAAAAGGCAATTGAATTGAAAGGAAACATAAACCAAAGAAAATGTAAACAAAATCTGGCAAAAGCGACAACTAATTAGAGGGTAGACAAAAATGAAGTTATATTTTCACTCTTAACAAACTTTGGAGCAATCTTTCCCACCAAAAACTAATCCATTTTACACTACACAGGATTACTATTTAAAGAATTGTTCTTATATCTTATAAGGCATGATTATATTCTATTTCTATCGATAAAACAATTAACATGTCCTGTAAGCCAAACTCTTTGCATTTGTAGTGACTAGATAATCTACTCAATACACATTCAACTAATCAATTTTATGACCACTCAACTTAAATGGCAAAACAATTAGAAGCTTGTCCAGTACGACAAAAGTATCTGTGCTGTACAAGACATCTGGATAAACATTTTCCTGTTTGACCAATATACACATAATCACACTCTTTACAAGGTCTCTCAATACACATAGACAGCCAAAAACTTTGGAGAGTTTCTAGTCAAGATATTTTTAACTTCTTACATTTTCAAAGACCACATTGATGTTTAATTTCTAAGTGTGGAGGAATTTTGCTATATTTTCCATGTAAGGAAGAACATGTGAATATTTGAAAGACTAAACTTCTTTTGGGATGGGAGTTATAAATGTTTTCTTAGCTTGCCTAAAAGCTATAATCTCTGATTAAACTTTTGAACTACTGTAAATGTATCGGTAATGTAAAAAGATGAATATTGTGTACTGTACGGATTTATGAGCCTCTTCAGGGCCCTGCAATAAAAGTGGGTAGCAATAGCTACCGTTTTAGTATGGATTTTATTATTAGAATAAGTTTATTGCAAGTTCAGTAGAAATTAATTGAACTTGAACTGACAAATTCATAAACGCTGAGGCAGCTGGAAGTTAGCCAAACGAAGAACAGGTTGGCAGAGACTTAGATAAGGGGAGCAGATGCCAAGACATTAAGCAAGAATAGTGTCACATAGCAAATCCGGAAGGATTCACTGAAGTCTGCAACACAGAGGAGAGGAGAGACAAACACAGCACTCTGAATTCAGGCCAGAGGTAGTCATTGGAAAAATTCTTAATCCAGCTTACATGATATGTGACGGTATAACTGCAATGACAAGGACTTAAGGGATTATAGAGACACAAAGAGAACTGAAGCGTGAGAGAGGACAGAGCGAAGCCTAACATGAAGATACACAGTAGGCTATAACAAACTTCACCCACCAGAGACGAGACACAAAAACCTTCAGACGACTGGCATTATAAAAAGCGAGAAAAATAGAATAATTCCGCCCGTACCGTAAAGAGCTGGTGACATGGATTATATTCACATTAGAATTATTTATATTAAGATTTAAGGTTTATCAGTATAGGTTATTAAGCCATTTCAGTGATAGGTAAGAGTGCCATATATATATATATATATATATATATATATATATATATATATATATATATATATATATATATATATATATATATATATATATATATATATATAAACACGTGCAATGCAGTGACGAGGTAGTGACAAAAAATGACCTCAGAAGGAATAGCGGTAAAAATGATTCCAGCGACAGGAGAATGAAAGTGTAGATTATAAGAACCGGAAGAATGATGATTGAAAGAGTTTAGACCACCCGCAGGAGCACGGGACCTACCTGGCATCGCAGAGCTTCTCGGAGCAGTTGTCACCTTTCCAGCCCTCGTCACAGGTGCAGGCATCGTTCTCACACACTCCGTGCAGCCCGCAGTCCAGCGAACACGACTCTGCATGGCGAAGCATTAGTACAGGATTACACCTAGCTACGTACGTGACTTCTATCTGAAGTTATGTTTTACTGAATATAACCCACCAGACTCACCACACACGCTGCTGAGGTTTAAAAACAAAGATGGTATAATAGTGTGTGTGTGTGTGTATGGTCTTCCGTTGTCGGGGAAAGGTATATTGTATTTTGGTTCTATCACGGAACTCATTGGTCTACTGCCCACCTTCCCCCACCCCTCGGAAACCACCCACAACAGTTGTCTAGCTTGTAAATGCCAAAAACAACTGGTGTTCTCAGGTGGCCACCCTTCTAAGTACTAACCAAAGTCAGCGTTGTCTGACTTCGCCGATCGAAGCGGCGTTCTCAAACGTGGTATAGGACCCTTGAACATGTCACTCCTGTTACATACAGGTTCCCAGTTATGCTCGGTACCCTGCCCAGGAATCGGACCACAGGTCTTCTAGATCGTGAGACAATTGTACTAACCGCTAGTGATGGTGAGAGTAATAATGGTGATGTATACGAAATCGGTGTTGATATTGATTGTGGTGCAGATTACAATAGCCGTGTTGGTTTCTATGTAAGAGGTAGGGCTGGTGATGGTAGTTATTCTGTCAACAGTGAGTGTAGTGGTGGTGCTGGTAACGACCTATAAGCTGTAGTGTTGCTCCTTGTATAGTAGGTATAATTGCCAGTAGATATAGTTACTTTAATGATTATTCATCATTAAAGTAGCAAACTGTAACGATTTGATGTTATTGTTGTTGAGGTTGTCAGTGATGGCGACACGGAGAATAATGATGCTCTTTATCATAATTATTCATATAAAGCTTCAGCATCAACAACTTGTATACAAACTGATCACAATACAATTTTCACAATAACTTGCGTGACGTAATCTCTCGGTCATCATAGACATAGAAATTTGATAAAATAACTTGTTATTAATTTCTAGTTTGTTTGCTAGTAACTTGCGAATTCTGATTATTTTGTTCAGTACATATACTCTCAAATTCACATAAACATCTACGATAGAATAAAACTGAGAAATGTTTTATATTATTTAACTAGAAACAATCTGTATAAGGAAAGAACAAAAATAGGCAAAATTACATATTTACAATTTAAGATTGAATAAAACATTTTATCAAATTAATATTCACCTCTCGACCACCCTATCTAATGAGCACAGTAGGGCAAACAAGGCTGTCAAACAGGAGTCGTGTTAATGACAAGTGTGGTGCGGGTGGAATTCAAGAGGCTACAGGCTGCCAAACACCCAAATATGACACCAGTCTTGTTGACGCTTGTCGTGGTCTCTCCACCTCCAACTCGATATTAAATTCTCCTCTTGCCTAGTACACAGGGAAAAATGAGCCCTTCCTCAACACCCAGATACGAAAAGTTGAATCTTGATCTAGTGAGGGACCATCTCTCTTTCACTTCACTATACGAGGGGTGAGAATGTGGCCTACCTGTCCTTAGCCACATGCTACCCTTGCTGATAATTTATCATATAGGTATTTTGGGATGGAGATAAGGCTTTGCATAGTGTAGGAGGGAATGACGAGTTGGTAGGGGAGAGATGAGAGAACAGGGATCCTCCTGAAAAAAGTGTGGAATCATTTTGCATACTAAACCGCCCGACAATACCAGCCCAGCGAGGGCTCCCCTTCTCTCTGTAATAGAGGACTGCTGTCATGGTCACGCACACACACACACACACACACACACACACACACACACACACACACACACACACACACACACACACACACACACACACATATCCATCATCATCACTGGTCACTCACCATCACTGTACACTCACCATCACTGGTCACTCACTATCACTATTCATCCACTATTACCGAGTCACCCTCATCAACGGCTTGTATGTGAACGCACGTATCAATAAACCATTCACATCGACGCTGAATCAATAGTATAATTTTAATTTAGAAACAAAACTTAAACTAAGAAATATATCTCCACAAACATTTGCCGCGACCTCCAAGTTAACTCATCTGTTATATACTGATACTATGCATAGAATGAGTTACAACAAGCTGCCTGAACATAAACAGCCTCGTCCCACATATCTATGAAAGGACGAGGTTGCGCAACCCGACCTGCCCGAAACGCTGCGAGTACTAGTGGCTTTACAAGACTGTAAATACTATGCTATGTATTCTCACAAACCCAATGTACCTTCTTGTATATCTTTCCCCTCAGTCATTGCGGTTTTATTTGCATTTATTAAAACAGTTTAAGAACCACCGCGAGGTTGTTTATATCAATAATACCCTTGTGTTGTAAAGTTGGGAAGCTCGTTAACTCTTTAATATATGTAAACAGGGCCGCCATGATCATTGAAAGATATACAGGTTTCGCAAGGGAAGGGGAGCATCAGGAGAAGCGCCAAGCCATCACGACTATATAGCACTGGGAAGGGGGTCAGGATAAGGATTTTGGGATGGGATCGCAAGTCTTTGTGGATTTGATTATTCATGAATATCGTCCAACGTTTAGCGCAAGATTTCCTCTCTGGTTACTGGTCTTCATCATATAAACCAGCTTCAGTGACATCTTAAACAAGTACAAACTAGAGACTCATACTGAAGGCGTTTCTATTATTCCTAAAAACTTTGGCAATTTCTTAGGAATAGAAAAATAAAACTTGTCACACCTTTTCAGAAGATCTTAAGATTAAGGGGCTATATATTCTAGGCGATGTCTCTGCAACACCGACGGGAGACATCTCCCGTCACACAGGGTGCAGCCGCACCTCCACAGATCTCCAGTATCATCTATTGATACTGGTAATGGCTCAAAAGGGCCACCACTTACGGGCTATTCATGCCCGTGCCACCTTTTGGGTGGCTTAATCTTTATCAATCAATCAATCTGCAACACCGACATAGAACATAACAACATAATGAACTGCATCACTGTTGCAAAAGTAAGAAATGTAGCATTTGATATATATATAAACACAAAACCGAACTTACTTTTGGAACAGTCGGAGCCCGTCCAGGGAGGGTGGCAGACGCAGGTATGCAATTCTATGTCAAAGGCGCCGTGGTTGTTGCAGTCCGGCAGGCACTGGCGGGCGTCCAGGTCGGTCTCGGAGCAGTCAGGCCCTCTCCACCCCTTCTGACACACACACGACCCCAGCACGCACCACCCGTTGCCTGAGCACGTCGGGTGCGGGCAGTCAACTGCACGAGGGAGGGGGAGGGGAGATGTTAATGTGGTGACAGTCTACTACGAGTGGAAATTGAAATTGAAATTGAAATAAGTTTATTGAGGTAAAATACACACAAAGGGATGAGGTAGCTCAAGCTATTCTCACCCCGTTCAGTACAACGTGTTCATACATATATAGACACACATCACAAACAATAAACATATTGCCGAACATTCTGAGAGATAACGGGTGGGAAGAATGGGGCATTCAGTTTGGAGTGGGGTCAGTCGGCCTTGAGTGGGGTCAGTCGGCTTGGAGTGGGGCATTAATGGTTGCAATATTACTGCTAGTACACAAGAGCATCAATATTTCAACTACATAATAGAGCACGACACATAAAAACCTGCGGTCATTTTTGATGTATTCAAGAGTACTTAATTTATTAGCAAACTGAATATGAGGGTTGTGTGCGTGAAAAAATTCTTACTGGGATATGTGGGAGCTGCAGGAGAGAACATAATTATCTCCGACTCCCTTTCCTTTATTACTAGCATGTACAACACTCCCCAATAGGAAGAAAACCCACTGCATTGTTCATCCTGTCATTTGTACCCAGACAGAGCTGAGACTTGCTTAACTGTCTCAAGGGAACAGTTGATCAAAAAAGACGATTAACATTTACCAAACCCTAAAAACATACGTTATCTCCCGCGAGAGAGAATCAGTAATAGCAAGAATTCGTCTTGTATCAATGGAGATTTCGGATGGAAACAACAGCTGAGCAGCGAAGCTGCAGAATCTGTTGTGAGAGTGACCACGATAAAAAGCCTAACGTGTATGAATACACTCTGGCTTCCTGTCCCCTAATACAATGAATTATTATTAGTAGTAGCTCGGATGGCGGCGCACCGGAGATTTGTACAGCTGAATGACCACTATTCCTAAGGTTTGGTTGGCTTTTTGGTGTATTTCATTGCAACTCCCATTTGTTGGGCAACTTTCAATGACTGGTGGATCCTAACGTCTAGGTTCTTTTCTTCATCAATCTGCTGCATTGTAGTTGTGATGTGCATTGGTATGCCTTATATGCGAGGTCTTGCATTTTTCAATATTAAAAAGCATTTTACAAAACAGTACCTAGACTTCAGAGTGTCCGAACCATATTTGTTTTAAATAATACCAGTGCCGGAGCAAGGTTTGATAACAAGACGAGGGGTTTGGATACAATGTATATCACGAATTTCATGAAAAACAAGAAAATTAAGTCAAACAGCTGCACAGTTCTCTTTTCTGTAATTAAATTTCCATCGTGTTTTGTTAATGAAACGATTACCTATTGTGTTTATATGTGTTTACCAGTTATATAATTTGGTTGAGAGGCGATATGAATCCTGATATGTGTGTATTCCAGTAAACATTTTCTAGTATATTTGGGATTTAGTCGAGGAATTGATGCTACGATTGATAGACATAGAGCGAGAAAGAGATACAGAGATAAAAAAAAAGAGAGATCAAGAAGTTGATAAACATGGCGAGAAAGGCGGCAAAGTAAGCAGACCGGACAGCAAACAAAAAAAAGCCTAGCCCCGAAAAAAGCCTAGCCCTCCAAAAAAGCCTAGCCCCCTCCCCCACAAAAAAATAAATAAATCGTACCTGTCTGGCAAAACTCTCCGGTGTAGCCCTTAGCGCAGTGGCACTGGCCGTCCACGCACTGGCCCTGTCCGTTACAGTCCGGCACCTCACACTCGTGATGCCGCAGCTGGCACTCCTTGCCCTTGAACCCTGGATGGCACCGACACTGCCCGTTCATGTAGTCGCCGTGCCCAGAGCACAGGATGGGGCACAGTACTGTGGAAATGTTAAAGAAATTGTTGTTGAAATGATTCCACTTCACAAAGAATTTGGATTTCAAATTCTGCGGCTGTTTTTCTTATATATATATATATATATATATATATATATATATATATATATATATATATATATATATATATATATATATATATATATATATATATATATATATATATATATATATATATATATATATATGTCGTACCTAGTAGCCAGAACTCACTTCTGAGCCTACTATGCAAGGCCCGATTTGCCTAATAAGCCAAGTTTTCATGAATTAATTGCTTTTCGACTACCTAACCTAACCTAAAGTAACTTTTTCGGCTACCTAACCTAACCTAACCTATAAAGATAGGTTAGGTAGGGTTGGTTAGGTTCGGTCATATATCTACGTTAATTTTGACTCCAATAAAAAAAATTTACTTCTTACATAATGAAATAGGTTGCTTTATCATTGCATAAGAAAAAAATTAGAGAAAATATATTAATTCATGAAAACTTGGCTTATTAGGCAAATTGGGCCTTGCATTGTAGGCTGAAAAGTGAGTTCTGGCTACTAGGTACGACATATATATATATATATATATATATATATATATATATATATATATATATATATATATATATATATATATATATATATATATATATATATATATATATATATATATATATATATATATATATATATATATATATATATATATATATATATATATATATATATATATATATATATATATATATATGCCTGCCACTGAGGCTGGTATGTGCTCATCATCATTCATATGAAAATAATAATAATTTGACAAATTTAATATCAAATTTATTAAGGAATTTTAGTAATAGTAATAATAAACAAAATCTAGAATTTTTTGTCTTAAGCAAACTTACTAAATAAAATCCCAAACAGGATGAGAGATAACGTACAAAACAGACATTTATGAATAAAGTTATTGATTGATTGATTGATTGATCTAGTGATACAAAGGATACCTAATAAATGCCTCCATTAGAACCGAAATTGAGCATGGAGCATTACAAATAACATGAAGATTGAGAATGTATGCCCCTTACACCCCATGCGAACACAAAGAAAATGTCTGAAGCCTCATGATTCTCGTCTCGGTGTTTATTGGCATATATGTGAATCCTAATTCATTATTTGGGATTTACTTACATAGTGTATCACATATGCCGGTTCCGGAGAGTTGCGTCATGTCAAAAACATATGTTAAAGGAAGATGTATTATGTGAACTGTACCTTGAGAACAGTCTATACCGCTGTAGCCTGGCTCACACTGGCAGCGTCCTAGGATACAGTGGCCTCTTTCCTCGCATCTCTGGGGGCACTCTCCCTCGCCAGGGCCCCTGCTGATGACCAGTGCCACCTGGTGTGGCTCTCCATCGTCGTTGTAGATGGAGAGGAACCATTCGCCAGCCTCCAGTACCTCCTCCACCGACACCTCCACCATGCTCTGTTGGAGGACAAAAATGAGCAAGGCGTAGTCCTAGGACAATTGTGAACACACGCACGCACGCACGCACGCACGCACGCACACACACACACACACACACACACACACACACACACACACACACACACACACACACACACAGTTTCAAATGGAGATATGATAGAGCCCAGTAGGCTCAGGAATCTGTATACCAGTAGATTGACGGTTGAGAGGCGGGACCAAAGAGCCAAAGCTCAACTCCCGTAAGCACAACTAGGTGAGTACACGTATTCCCACCCAAACACTGCACCCTCAAACGATACTTGTTTGATATACAAGATAATTAGTTATTGAATCAGAAATTGGAAAGGTAATAAAACGAAGGAGAGAGAGAGAGAGAGAGAGAGAGAGAGAGAGAGAGAGAGAGAGAGAGAGAGAGAGAGAGAGAGAGAGAGAGAGAGAGAGAGAGAGAGAGAGAGAGAGAGAGAGAGAGACAGAGAGAGAGAGAGACAGACAGATACAGAGACAGACGCGCTCCGATACCCTGATCAAGAGCTAACAAACACTGGAGATCAAACACGGGTCTGTGGGGGACAGCGCTACAATACCACCCGGAGACCTTCCAATGGCTCCCGGCTGTCCAGGACCTCCACCTCAGGATATTGGACACCCGGCCCACATGTCCGGTGACCAGGGCCCCCATCTGCCCCACCAGGATCACCCGCTAACAGCACGTCAACAAGAAATTACCTTAACCCCTAATAATGCTAGTATTAGTAATGAAGGAGAAGGAAGGACCCAGTATATGTATAAATGAATTAAAAACCAAAATTTCGGATGTAAACCGAAAAAACTCTCTCTGTAAACTCTCCTTTCTCAAGTACCTACATAGTTTCTCAAGGGACCTTGAGAAACTATGTAGGTTACATCCGAAATTTTGTTTTTTGATTCATTTTTATATATATATTGGGTCTTATCCTTCACCTTCCTTCAAGCACTACAGCTTTGTGGTAAGTTCCTTCAGCATTAGTAATATTGGAAACAGTAGTAGTATTATTATAAATAGTCAAGGAATAAGTTAGTTAATAGTAGTAGATGTAGCCATCGTAGTTGTGATGACGTAGCAATGACAGATGTGAATACAATCACAGGGGCGAAAGAAAGGCCAAGACTGAAAGCAATAGTAGAAGTGAAAGTAATGAGAGATGTGAATTAAGTGTTTGTTAACTGTTATTATTGACTTGCTGGTTGCACAAAGGAGCGAGTTTAGACAAGGATGAAAGCTGGCGGAACATAACAGGCTCTTACAAGCCAACGGCACTGTATTGTCTCAGAGAGAGAGAGAGAGAGAGAGAGAGAGAGAGAGAGAGAGAGAGAGAGAGAGAGAGAGAGAGAGAGAGAGAGAGAGAGAGAGAGCGAGAGAGAGAGAGAGAGAAAGATTAGGAAGAGGGGGAAAAGGTGCATACTATTGATACTGCGACCACAAGGAAGATTTACAGAAGAGAGCCCATCAAGTGTGAGATAGGTCAGGACGGAGGGAAGCTGGAGATAACAGATTAAAAACCTCCATGGGGGTAACTTAGACTAAAACGGAGGACCTACCGGAGAAGCTCTGACGTCCCGCTGCCGCGTGCCCCTCAGGATCTTCATGATGTCGTGTTGCGTGTGTGTGGGCAGGGCGCTCCGGCGGGCGTACAGACCCAGCGACGTCCCTCTGAAGCAACAAATAAAACATATTTGAGCGTAGCCCGCTTATTCGGATCAGTCCGAGAATGGGATGAACTGGAATTCTTTACGACCACTTGGGTTGGATGGTAGAGCGACGGGCTCGCTTCATGTAGGTCGGCGTTCAATCCCCGACTGTCCACAAGTGGTTGGGCACCATTCCTTTCAACCCGTCGCATCGTAAATCATTATCTTGACCCCTTCGAAGTGTTATATAGACGTAATGGCTTTCTTGTGACAGTTCCCATCCCTTCTCGGCAATTAGGCAAGATTGATATTAGCTCATCTTGATTCCCCCCCCCCCCCCTACAAAAAAAAATACACACTTAAAACACTTAAAACAATGAGTTAACTTCTGGTCTAGATGTCAAGACGACCAAATTTACTCATTGTAACACTGAACTTGACTCATCCCTCTCCGTATGGTCTGAAAGATATGGCCAAGTGAACTCTTTAAGGATATATATAACAAAACTCAAACGTATAGTCACAGCAACGCGACTAGAACCAATAAACACTAAACCTACACAATAGAATTGTACCAAGGGTCCCGTTCGTCCTGAACCACTGGAACTTGTCTCAAGTTAGGTCTGGTTCATGGTTCTGGACGGACCAAACAAGTGACTTTTTGTACCACTCATACACGTTGGATGTATTTCTATGCAACACAATATGATGTCCAAAGTATTCCATATGGATCGCTTTACCAATTCAGTTTAAATCTGATCGCAGATGGAGTGAATCTTGTGTGTTTAGAAATAGTCACCAATGCACATTGGTTGGAGTTAATAGGGAAATTGTGAGGTTGTACTTACCCTCTCATGCTTCGATAACTTCTGTTATTTTTCATCAAAAGCGTTTTTGGGTTGCGTTCGTGAAAATTGAAAATTCATGCAGTACGTTAGAGAGATTTAATTTCATATTAACCTTTACTTAGTGTACCAGCGCTGGAAAATAATTTTTCTGGAGCCTTGTGTCTTGTTGAAGGTACCAAGTGATAGATATAATATATTGTTGTCATGTCCACCTTTCATATTGATGCGAGTACGAACATTTGCAAACCAGTCATTGCACGGGCGTGTTGATATAATTTCAGAGTAAAATTAGGAAAACATTGACGTTTATTCATATTTGGTTTAAAGTCAAAATACCTGCCGTTATTGAGGACTAATAACTTGGAGAAGGTAGTTGGCAACAGTTAAGAGTACCCAAGTCCCCTCAGTGGTCAACTCTGGCATGATATATCACTTCCACAGTGGTAGAAATATACGAAAGAAATCCAAAAGCTTCTGTTCTGATAACGTATTTAATATTAGTTTATAACCTTAACCAGGATGATATCCTGAAGAGATATTCTCTCTCTCTCTGTAGAGAGAAAAAAAACATATATGTTTTATATATATATATAAAATTCTTTCCCCCAGGTCTTCCACTCTGTGGTTAATGAGTTACTTTAAAGTGTTACTTCAAGACACACTAATTACCTTCTCTACACTGGCTCCAGTTCCCAGTAATTGCCGACCATCTTTTACGTCCTCTGATAACTATCGAGACCTCGCTTTTAATGGGGTGTTTGATCACACACCTTCCTTGACTTGGTCATAGATAAATTGAAACCTGATTTTCAATTTGCATACAAAGTAGGTTATTCTACGACTGTGCCCGGCATCTTGGTTAAAGGAACTCTACAATATTACAAATCACAAAACCATCTGTAATGGAGCATCAAGGTCAAATGGAACTTCAAAAAGACGGAAGGGAAATATCAGGGGGGGAAAGCGCCAAGCCATTATGACAATATAGCACCGAGAAGGGGTCAGGATAAGGATTTGGGATGGGACGGGACAAGGGAAAGGGGGGGAGGGAAGGGAAAGTTCCTCAGAGAGGACGTAGGTTCTCGGATGTAGATTTGGGTCGTAGATCTCGTAGATCCGAAGATCCGAAGATCTCGGACGTAGGTTCGAATCCTCGTCACGGCCCTTGTGGATTTGTCCCTCGGAGAGGTTAAGGCGGTGTCCGTATGTGCATTATGGGTTGATGAACACCGTGATTGTTCATGAACAATGTGGTATTGTGTGATATAACAATATAACACAATTAGTGATATTAAATCATACCAAAAACTTCATTCCTAAATGGTTGTATACTTATGATTGGTTAAGTATACATAAAAAAAGACGCTACATTAATTACACAAGAGTCACAATAACCTCACGTATCATGTGTACATCTGATACATGATACATTGGAGTATTTGAGCATTTGCAGATACACAAATATAAATTACACAAAACCATTACTATTGTGTGATCCACTACAGTCAGCTCCCAGCAGGGAGCCGGTCGGCCGAGCGGACAGCACGCGGGACTTGTGAGCCTGTGGTCCTGGGTTCGATCCCAGGCGCCGGCGAGAAACAATGGGCAGAGTTTCTTTCACCCTATGCCCCTGTTACCTAGCAGTAAAATAGGTACCTGGGTGTTAGTCAGCTGTCACGGGCTGCTTCCTGGGGGTGGAGGCCTGGTCGAGGACCGGGCCCGGGGACACTAAAAAGCCCCGAAATCATCTCAAGATAACCTCAAGATAACCACATAAAAAGAACATTCGCATTTTTTTTTCTGTGCTAAATATTTGGAGTTGTTGATGCCTAATATGTGCCACAGACCGCCATTAAAGAAAGCTGTGCACTGTACAGTATCGACAATATGTGCCACAGACCGCCATTAAAGAAAGCTGTGCACTGTACAGTATCGACAATATGTGCCACAGACCGCCATTAAAGAAAGCTGTGCACTGTACAGTATCGACAATATGTGCCACAGACCGCCATTAAAGAAAGCTGTGCACTGTACAGTATCGACAATATGTGCCACAGACCGCCATTAAAGAAAGCTGTGCACTGTACAGTATCGACAATATGTGCCACAGACCGCCATTAAAGAAAGCTGTGCACTGTACAGTATCGACAATATGTGCCACAGACCGCCATTAAAGAAAGCTGTGCACTGTACAGTATCGACAATATGTGCCACAGACCGCCATTAAAGAAAGCTGTGCACTGTACAGTATCGACAATATGTGCCACAGACCGCCATTAAAGAAAGCTGTGCACTGTACAGTATCGACAATATGTGCCACAGACCGCCATTAAAGAAAGCTGTGCACTGTACAGTATCGACAATATGTGCCACAGACCGCCATTAAAGAAAGCTGTGCACTGTACAGTATCGACAATATGTGCCACAGACCGCCATTAAAGAAAGCTGTGCACTGTACAGTATCGACAATATACTGTGAATTATAGTGCCCAATATTCTTTCTATGGATGATATAGTGTCAACTCTTATTTTGAAGGATATAGTGTCGAGAATTTTTTTTTTCCTCATTGAGGGTACTTGCGTGTATTATGCCCTGGGTCACAACTATTGCTCTGAGGTCACAACCACCGCCCTGGGTCACAACTATTGCCCTGAGGTCACAACTACTGTCCTGAGGTCACAACTACTGCCCTGGGTCACAACCACCGCCCTGGGGTCACAACTATTGCTCTGAGGTCACAACCACCGCCCTGGGTCACAACCACCGCCCTGGGGTCACAACTATTGCTCTGAGGTCACAACTACTGCCCTGGGTCACAACCACCGCCCTGGGGTCACAACTATTGCTCTGAGGTCACAACCACCGCCCTGGGTCACAACCACCGCCCTGGGGTCACAACTATTGCTCTGAGGTCACAACTACTGCCCTGGGTCACAACCACCGCCCTGGGGTCACAACTATTGCTCTGAGGTCACAACTACTGCCCTGGGTCACAACCACCGCCCTGGGGTCACAACTATTGCTCTGAGGTCACAACCACCGCCCTGGGTCACAACTATTGTCCTGAGGTCACAACCACCGCCCTGGGTCACAACTATTGTCCTGAGGTCACAACCACCGCCCTGGGTCACAACTACTGTCCTGAGGTCACAACCACCGCCCTGGGTCACAACTACTGTCCTGAGGTCACAACCACCGCCCTGGGTCACAACTACTGTCCTGAGGTCACAACCACCGCCCTGGGTCACAACTACTGCTCTGAGGTCACAACCACCGCCCTGGGTCACAACTACTGCTCTGAGGTCACAACCACCGCCCTGGGTCACAACTATTGCTCTGAGGTCACAACCACCGCCCTGGGTCACAACTATTGCTCTGAGGTCACAACCACCGCCCTGGGTCACAACTATTGCTCTGAGGTCACAACCACCGCCCTGGGTCACAACTATTGCTCTGAGGTCACAACCACCGCCCTGGGTCACAACTATTGCTCTGAGGTCACAACCACCGCCCTGGGTCACAACTATTGCTCTGAGGTCACAACCACCGCCCTGGGTCACAACTATTGCTCTGAGGTCACAACCACCGCCCTGGGTCACAACTATTGCTCTGAGGTCACAACCACCGCCCTGGGTCACAACTACTGTCCTGAGGTCACAACCACCGCCCTGGGTCACAACTACTGTCCTGAGGTCACAACCACCGCCCTGGGTCACAACTACTGTCCTGAGGTCACAACCACCGCCCTGGGTCACAACTACTCTGCCAGCATCTGTTGTTCGAATATCAAACCGCCACCGTTAATGATTCCGAAGTCGGACTGCAGGCAGTACGAGCCTTCGCTGTTGGCTCTCAGCGAAGAGCTGGTCGCAGATCATTATTCTCTGACAAAGTCTCCCGCGAGGAGAGCCCAGTCTTCGTCAGTCACCCAGAAGAAGAAGAGACGCATCACTCAAACCAGGAATGAAGATACAGTACTCTCTCTCCCTCCTAACATCTAACCTTTCACTCCTACATCACTTTATATACCAAGAAATATACGGACTCGGCAAGCCACCTTTCACCGATTACGTGAGAGCGGGTGGGGGAGTCATTATTATGGCCGACTTCCAATTAATAGAACCAATATCACCATCCCCGGGCAGCCTATGTCCGTCCCGTACCCATGAACAT